CATGGCCCTGAAGTCAGATCTAAGTAAAGACTTCAGTTCCGTACCTACGTATGAGACTTTGAGCAAATTATTTTTTGCCTTAATTTCCTTATCTGCAAGATGGGACAATACCTTGTAAGGGTTTGTAAGGAGTGAATTAACACTAGCATGAGATAGGGCCGAGGAGATGGCTCAGTGGAATAAGCGCTTCCCTGGCAAGCTCAAGAGCCTGAGTTCAATACCAGGTTCTGCCAAAAAAAAAAACCCAAAACAACAACAACAACAACAACAAAAAACTAGCATGGGAAAAGAAGCCCAAATAAGTCTTTTGTTTAAAGTTTCGTTTCTTGCCTGGCAAGCACAAGGTGCTGAGTTCGATCCTCAGCATCAGATAAATAAATAAATAAATGAAGTTTCTTTTCTTTTCTTTTTTAGGTTCTTTGAGCTGCGAAATTTGCCAGTGTCTCGGCTACACCTGCTCTGTCAAGCACTGTGCAATCCTTACTGTGAAGTCAAAGATTTGAAGTAAGTTGAACTTTGTTTTAGACTCTAAGACATTTGCAGGAAAACTGAATTGATAAAAATTGTACTCCCAGCTGGCCCAGTAAGCAAAGTCTAACTTGTGTTCAGTCTATCTGTAGCAAAGCAGCAAATGAAAAGTCATTTCAAACTTAGAAGGTAAAGGATGAAATCAGTGACAAGTGTCTGTCCATCCTTCCTGCCTTTCCTTGTTTTGTATGTTCCACGAGTGGGTGACAGATTGTTAGTACCTGAGAGAGTTGTATCTGGTGTTCCTCTTCCTTTTCCTACCAGACTCATCTATTCCCTCAGTTCTCCTTCATTTGAGCTCTGTCTTTCCATGCAACTTGATGATCCTATTCTGTCTTTCTATTCCCCTCTCCATACCCTCAGTCATTCCTCAAAATACCCAAAGTCCCCACCCTGCCCTGTCTTTGCATCTTCACTCATGTCCAGCTACTTTGCCCAAATCACAAGCACATAAGCAAGAGTCCTCTTGGTTTCTTATCCCTTTGTTATGTGATCATTGCTAGTGTTCTCTTTTCCCATCCCAAAAGAAGAAATGATCTTTTCAGATGCACTGAAGTCAATAAATTTATGTTATTTTATTTTTGTGAACACCTGATTATTTTACCTTCACAGCATGGTAGTATATAAAGAAAAAGCACTTCACTGAACTGCCCTATATTCTGTCATAGCCTGTATCACTAACACCCCACTGCCTTCCATTCCCTTACCTATGAGTCCCCCTTTCCTATGTAATACTTTGCTGAATATCTTTCTTGACCTTTGCTTATTCTTATATAAATCTAATTTGTAACATGAGGCAAACATAAATCAGTAAGTGTATATAGCACACATATACATACTGAGAGAACTTTTGGTGGTCTTTTTTTATACAAAAGTGACTCATATAATTTTGTTCATTTAACTTTATGTTTGCCATGCCTTCCGTACAGTATGTGGGATCAATCTCATTTTTTCACATTTCTTTTTTTTCTTGGTTAGTTTGGTTTTTGAGACAGGCTCCAATTGTGTGGTCTAGGTTAGCTTTGAACCAACTCTGTCACCCAGGCTGGCCTCGACCTCAAACAGATCCTCCTGCCTCAACCTCCTTAGTGCTGGTATTATAGACATGCACAACCACATCTAGCTATCACATTACTTGAATTGTGAATCTCTTTTCTTCTCTCACCTTCTCCATGTCTCAGGGTTCTCCTATATCCAAAACACTTTCAACCATGTATCCTACATGAATTCATCCTTTCATAGCCAGGCTTTATCCTTGAAAAAGTGCTTCCCCTCACTGATCCCACTTCCTCACTTCCCACACACTCTTCGGTCTTGTGGTTTGGCTCCTGCGCTGTTATGAACTTGCCTGAAGAATGTCCAAAATAAATACCAGCACCAGAGGACATTTTCCAACTCCTTACAGGGCTCCTTACTGCTCCTGAGTATTTCACTGCCTCCACCATTCCTAAATGGGAGTGCCTTGCCCCCTAGTGGACATCTGGAAACATCCATAGACAGTTTCATTTGTCACAACTGAGAGTGCCTGTATTTGGGGAGTGAGGGGAGGGTGCCACTGGCCTCTAGTGTGCACAGGCTAGATTCTGGTAAATGTCCTACAGTGTCCTGGACACATCCTTCAGCAACAAAAATAATCCAGCTCCAAATATCAGTAGTACTCAGGTTAAAGATCCTGTCCTAAAGCAAGATTAGAAATAAATAAACCCAAAGATATTCCTGCAAAGTGTACTGAGAGAGCTATCTCGGCAGCGGTACTGACAGTGATTGTTCATCCCCCAATAGGAAACAATCCAAGGTCACACCTCTGCTGCTGCACAGATGTTCCAGAGCTATGCCTGCTTCCTAATCTCTAAGGTCACAGTCCCTAGGCGATGTCCAGGGCTCCCTTGGTTGTGTCACATTCTGTTTCAGGTGTGACTGTTCCCCATTCTTCCACCTGAGGCTTCAAGTTCATATTATACAGCTGGTAGTCATCAGAGGGGGAGAAGCAGATCAAGCTTCCACCAAGCCCTTTATCCCACTTACTCTTACCCGCCCTCACCTCTGAAATAATTTTGTATTGTTGTATGTTTCTGTGCCATTTCAGACTTCTGAATTCACAAATACCCTTGTAGCCAGATCCCCCCTTCCACACTGACAATGGTGGTGGGCTGGAGAAAGACAGCACCATGCTGTGGCCCATGATCTGGACCAGCAAACCTTCTGGGTCCTGTCATTTGTTAATTCATCTCCTGGACAGTGGTGTGAGTTCCTTGTTCACATCTGACCACCCCTGGTTCTGCTCAGAGGGGACTGGGGATGATTCTCCTTGTGAGGCTGGATAGGCTATAGCCGGTGCTAACTTCCTCTGTACACATCTCTGGGAGATTCTGTGGAGGACCACCTGGGCAACTCTCCTTGAAAGAACAGTAGTTGTCTCCATCTTGGCTGTGCCTGACCCTACTTCCATGTATTAATAGGTACAGAGGGCCAGCCAAATAGTTCAGCAGATTAAAGTGTCTGCAAGCAGGCGCAGGCGCCAGGGGTTTGATCCCCAGGCCTGCCGTGCTAGCCCCGCCCACCAGGACATGCTGAGTTGGCAATTGAGACTGGGTGTGGTGGTGCGTGCCTGTAATCCCAGCTCTTGGGAGGCTGTAAACAGGCGGATCATTATGAATCTGATCTAGCAGTGAGACCCTGAACACCCTCTAGACCCTTCACTAAAAAATACACACACACAAAAGCAGAGAGCTGGCTAAGACTATTCCTTATCCCTTCAACTGACTAAACAATGCACATTGCTCTAGCCAAGATATTGGTGGTAGTCTTTAAAGATCATATGCGTGTTTCCCCAGTAACCCCCACCTGCTGTTCTTTAATATGAACTGGGTTGACAGGCAGACAGGATGAAGAGCCAATGCTCCATGCTGTGGACTGGAATGGAGCCTCGAGATAGAGGCTATGACTTTTGGGGCTTGAAAGATTACAGATCAGGGCTGAAGCACTGGACCCCAAAACATTAGATACTATCTCAATTGTGTAATGCAGATTACTCTCTGCATATCCTTCTCTGCATACAGGCCTCCTACCTAGCCCAGCTCACAGTGCTCACCTACTTCCTGCCATTCTCATTCATTCATCCTCAAGCCACTCCTTCATGACAGAATAAAACCCAGGTTTGGCCTTGGGTCAAGGCCTTCATTCAGGATAGCCATCACCATGGCTGGACTTGGGACCCCTTGACTCCCCATGACTACAAACATGCTGTAGTGTCTTTATTCTTGCTGTGGGTTGCACTGTAATTAGTAAATTGGAATTAACTTGGTGGGATTCCAATAACTTATCCATGGGATTACAAATATAAACTTCTTGGACTGAGAGGAGGACCAGGAAGGGCTCTCCATAGGATTCCCTTAGGGTGACAAATCTCTGCATGTTAATTTGAGTTAAGCATAAACAAACTTGAAGTTAACATCATACCTATAACCATGAGCCTGTTTTGTTTTGTTGTTTTGTTCTCTAACTCTGACATGAGGCTCCTATACAGTTCATCCTTCGGGAATCTTGGGGTACAGGAATCCCTGCTACTTGCTAAACCCTGATGTGACTTCCCAGCCAATTCCAACTCTCTTTGATGGTTTGTTGTTTGAGATTGCACTTCTCTTGCCAGTTTCTAGCTTGGAAATGATCTGGTTACTCACCATAGGAACACACTCAAATTAGCATAAGAAAAGGGAGACCCGAAGAAAGTGGATGTTCACAGAGCAGAACTGCAGAAAAGGAAATGTAGTTGAGTAACTGCCACTCTCCACAACTCTCTGGAGCTACTGTATTAACTCCTCTGTACTTTTTAATGCCTTTTTATTCCCTAGACCTTACTCTGTACTGGTATCCCCTAAAAGACACCCTCTGTAAAGTGCCTGATATTGCTCCTCCACAGCTAGATGTAGGCCTCAGTGTTTGTGCCTGACCCCAGCCCGAATTCAAAGCAACCCACTATTCCACTGCCTGACTCCATTCGAGTATGGAGTGTGCCTCTTTTCATGTTCTCTAGCCCGAGAATCTGTGTGGCTCAAGATGGGTCAAATGTCCACTCCTGCTCCCATCATCTAAGGCTTGAATGTGGTGGTAGGGTGGTAGGAGGGCTTATAAAAGTAGCTCATAGGTCTACCAGACAGGAAGATGGGGAGACACCCATGCGTGCACGTACACACACACACACACACACACACACACACACACACACACATGCACGTGCACATACACGCACACATAAGGAAGCTGCATCAGTTCTGGGGTGTTGTGTGGAATGCAAAAGGGATCATCATCAAAGCATGTCTCTCCCCACCGACTACACCCTCTCCAATGCCCACCCACCTTGTTCACTTCCCTGGCCCCATATACTCCCCTTACCCCCATACTCCATGCAGGCCACCCACCTCTGAAAATAAATTTCCTAATCAAGTGTGTTGCATTGCAAGTTGCTAATTTTACTAAGGGTTTTGCAGCCAGATTGCCCTCCCACAGCGGAAGCAATTTTCCCTACGTGAAAAATTCACAGCCTTACACCAAGGACAGTCCCAATCCCCAGGCTTTCGAAACACTGGATGTTTTCTCTGCTGATGGAGTTCCAGGTCTCTCTTCATTTTGTGGTGTTCCTCAGAGTCTGCTTCTGGAGCCCACACAGTAGACCAGAAGCTAACATCAGAGCCTGAGTAGTCAGGGGGCATCTGAGGTTCAATAGGTGCTGAACTCAGGGCTGTTAGTGGGGATAGGGTAGATGCAACAGGGAAACAGGAAAAAGGGCTTGAGTAGTTGTATGAGAAAGAGGCAGGGAGCTGGACAGGAAGGGGTTCTGGTGAGGATGTGGATGTGGCCTTCAGGGCCCCAGAGAGATAAAGTGTGGCTGTTTCTACAGGACTAATGTCACTTTCTCTTTCTGGGCCAGATGGACTAAGATCACCTTCTCTGTCTAGGCCAGAGGGACTAAGATCACCTTCTCTGTCTGGGCCAGAGGGACTAAGATCACCCTCTCTGTCTGGGCCAGATGGACTAAGATCACCCTCTCTGTCTAGGCCAGAGGGACTAAGATCACCCTCTCTGTCTGGGCCAGAAGGACTAAGATCACCCTCTCTGTCTGGGCCAGATGGACTAAGATCACCCTCTCTGTCTGGGCCAGATGGACTAAGGTCACCCTCTCTGTCTGGGCCAGAGGGACTAAGGTCACCCTTGCTGTCTGGGCCAGATGGACTAAGATCACCCTCGCTGTCTGGGCCAGATGGACTAAGATCACTCTCACTGTCTGGGCCAGACAGACTAATATCACCCTCTCTTTCTGGGTAAGGGGGACTAAGATCACCCTCCCTGTCTGGGCCAGACAGACTAAGATCACCCTCTCTGTCTGGGCCAGAGGGACTAAGATTACCCTCTCTGTCTGGGCCAGAGGGAAAAATATCACCCTGTCTGTCTGGGCTAGAGGGACTAAGGTCACCCTCTCTGTCTGGGCCAGATGGACTAAGATCACCCTCTCTGTCTGGGCCAGAGGTGTAATTTTGCTGATGGACAACTGTGAGAAGACGCAGGAAGCTTTCACTTAGCTCTTCTGTGGCTGCCTCTGGAGCTGTGTTGATCACATCCATCTCTTCTTCTTCTTCTTCTTCTTCTTCTTCTTCTTCTTCTTCTTCTTCTTCTTCTTCTTCTTCTTCTTCTTCTTCTTCTTCTCCTCTTTCTTCACCTATGGCATTAGCTTCAGTCTCTGCCACCTCTTGCTTCTCACCTGTTCCAAGTATCTCCACCTCTTGGACAGCAGCCAGGTCTGGATCCTCCACACCTGGCCCTGGGAGAGCCCTCAGCTCCTGAAGAGAAGTAGACAAGGCTGAGACATGGCCTGGGGATGGGGGCCTGGTGGGGGTACAGGTGTAGGGCTGGAATAAGGGCCATGAGGTTATCTTACCGCCTCCATAAGCTTCCATCTCAGCAGGTCCCTCTCTTTCTGCACCTGGGCCAGTTTGGCATGGGCCAGCTGGAGCTGGAAGGCAGTCTCCTTGCGCTCCACCTCCTGCTGCTCTTTGAGCTGCTTCACATCCAAGGCTAATGCATGAGTGGCTGACTTGTGCAGTTTGGCAAAGTCATGCAACCATTGCACCTTACGTCCCTGTAAATGCCCCCGCCTGAGAGCTGAGCGCAGGCCCAGGACCAGGCTGCCCCAAGTACAGGCCTCTTGAGCATCACTGGACATTTCGCTGTCTTCCAGAATGGTTTTGATCTTGTCCTCTACCTCCTCCCAGGACATGGACAGATTTTCAAGGTAGAACTCAGGGCCTTTTGCGTGCATGGACATCTTCTCATTGATGAAGTCTACCACTGTGCCATGCCGGAACCCAGTGCGGGTGTCCTCGGGTTTCAAGGCCATGATGGTTAAAAGGGCCTTAGTGGCTTTGCTGGCCCTGTTGGGTAGATCAATCCATTGTCCCTTTCCTCCCTCTCAGGCCCTCCTCTTCCCCCACAGCCTCCTCCTACCCCTGCTCTCCCCAAACTAGACCCCCAGAATGACTCTCTAGCCAGGCTTTCCCCCATTTTAAGACACTTCCCAAGGAGACCTCAACTCTCTAGCCAGGGCCCAGAAGAGGTATAGGCTGACCACCCCTGCCTACCAGGGCCAGGGACAGGAGGGTCTTTCCTCTTCTCAGGTTACTAAGGAAAAGGAGTTGTGAGGACAAACGTGTAGATTTCTACTCTGGGAATGTTCCAACTTCCAGAGAGTACAGGGGTGGAAAGGAGTAGGAGAGGACAGTCCTTCTCACTTCTGGGACATAAAGGAAACCACTACCTAAGTGAAAACTATGGAAAGTGGGAAGAAATGTGAGTGGTCAGAAAAGACTCACAACCAAGAAAATGAAGCTCTTGTAAACAAGTAAATAAATTCCACTCCCACTGTAATGGTTTGTTCCATGCCCTGAGCTCTTCTATAGTTAGAATTGGAAAGAGTTCTAGAACAGGAAGCAGTTCCAACATTTTTAGTAATCTCAATAGTCCCTAAATGAAGAGGGTCTGGCCTGTATTTCCCATTGTCCCCTTGTTTGGGCACTGTGGTCAACCTAAAGGGTTATAAATTATCATTTCCATTCCCAAAATATGCTTGAATTTGTTCACTTCCTCCCTCCCATCCTCATTTGCTCCTCATTTCTTCTATCACTGTAGCTCTCTGCTATCAAGTCATTCTCTTGCTCCCCCTGTCATCAGAGGAATCTTATTACATCTCTTAAAACCTTCAATGACTTTGTAAGGCCTGTAGGATAAACTACAGACCCTAGGTTGAGTCTTGTTTAGCCACTTGTTGCACAACAATGTAATGTAATGGAATTTTAGTTTCTATGTGCAGAGCTGTGATGAGGACCAAATGACAAAAGTGTGTGTAAAATTGAAGCAGTAATGTTTCTTTCTGGTATAATTTTTGAAAAATACACAAATTATATGCCCAAGTACTTGCATGTGCTTTGATAATCTTTGAGAATAACAATGAAAGGGAATATATAATCCATACTAAGCAGTATTTATCTCTGGGAGGTGAGATTGAATGACACATTAGAAAAAGGGACTTTCTGTTAGGTTTTGTTGTTTTTTTAGTTTTGTCTTTATTACTACATGTGTTATGGTTTGTGTACAGTTGCCCCCCAAAGCCTCATGTAGTCTTGGGGTGGTTTCTGGAGTTTGTGATTGGTTACTGTGGGTGTGGTTGCTGCACCTGCC